TAATTAAATTAAGCTCTTTTTCTATCACTTTTAAAAGGTCTCATTTTGATATCCTGCAATGCCCCATACCCGTCTAACGACTGACCTTTTAGAGACACAGAAAGGTATGGGGCATTGCAGGCTAACAAAAGAAGCCAAACGATCCCCATCCCAAAGGGGTGGACCCATTCGTCCGTTTCAATTTGCATGTTTTCTAAACAAAAACAAGGCTTTGTTGGGCTACTATATAAAGCCTCGAACTCAACTCTATTTCTGACATTTTGAATTGAGAAACGTCTTCAAACTTGGAAACAAAGTCCAGTAGATTGTTTTTAATTTTCTTTTATTGGGATGTCAAAAATTTAAAAACTGCAAAGCACTGAAGAAGACAAATATGAAAAGACTCACAATATAAACCTGAAAGCAGAAGATAAAATTACAGAAATGGAAAACACTGAAGAAGATGGACAAGACAGACCAGAGAAAAATTATATGTGGGAAGAGTGTCACACAAGAGGACTGGAAAAACTATAAAAATGCAGAAAAATATGGAAAATGTCTGTACAAAGCGAAGCCCAGCCTAAACAAAACTTAGCTGCCTGTTGCCTCAAAGAAGTTCACCTTTTCAATTCAAATTCCGTACAAATTCAAAAAACATCCACTGGACTTGGTTTCCAAGATTTGAAGATGTTTCTCCACCTCTCCAGGAAGCTTTCTCAATTCAAATGTCTGGATCCGCAGTGAGTTTGAGTCTTATATAGACAAAGCCTTGTATCGCTTGGAAACATGGAAAAGGTAACCGATGGAACCAAACGACCCATTCTTGGAAACCAGTGGATATTTTTTGAATTTTTACAGAATGACTATGACCTGGATGACTGAGAACCTTCATCAGCACACTTTACAATTAAAAGACTCAAATAGCAGACAATTCTTCCACCCAAAGGTTCATTTCAACTGAGAAGACTAATGTTTTAACAACAACTTCCGGAAAACAAAATCCATGTTTTACTTTTGCTGTCAAGAGTCAGCAAATCAAACGTACTCACAGCCGAAAAATAAAAAGTACATTTCCTTCCTGTAGTGCTCAATACTTTTTAGAATGAAAGGAAAGGAAAAAAGGAGAAAGTTATTATTAAGGAGAGGGAGAATAGGAAGGCTCTACACAAGGGAGGGAGTCGGTTTTTCTATACTAAACTGTTGTTTAACTTTTTCTGGGTACTAACCCAAAAACTGATGAAAATTCTTTCTCAACAAAAACCAAAAAGTTCTGAAAATACAAAAACTTATCGAATTAATGTTTCAGACCAGAAATTATTTTCAAAAAAATAAAAAATAAAATAAAGGAGCCCCAAAAGACTATACCTTGAAATGGCTGCAGAATTCTTGGAAAATTTGTTTTAAACCCAATTGCGAACAGAACTGGAATGCCTTGAATTGACAAATTAAACTTAAGGCAGACTTTTAGGTTGTTTATATGTGGTACTTATTTTATTTCAGTTTGGGTAAAAGAAAAAATAAAACTAGGGAGTACAGGCTGCCCCTTTAATCTTTTGAGATCTTTTCAGTGGAGTTCAGATGCTACAGTAACAAGAGAGTTTGTTAGCTCGTTCACCATGAACATTTTTCTTTTACATGTTTTTGTTGATGATCTCAGAAAATAAAGATTCTCTTGCATGTGTAAAATCTCAGATGTAAAGTCTAGACTCTCTCCATTTGTGTTCAGATTTTCATCACTTCCTTTTTTTCTATTCTGACTGGTGGAGCACTTCTCTACACTCTAGCACTCTAGATGTTCGTTCCCAGAAAAAAATTATACTTTTACTGAAGAAACTGAACCAATTCGCTGAGGTTAAAGAACTAAAGTTATCTACCAGCTCATGAAAAAGTTATTTGGCAAAATGGAGTAAATCTAGTTTTAGTATCTGCATCTGTAGAAGCCAGAACAGAAAAGCTAAATTGATGTTCGTTTGTCTGGTTTTTAGAGTTATTATGGTTTGTTATACTTTGTAGATGTGTCCGTAAATTAGATGTGGGCAGAGATTTGTAACTGGGCATATAACTCACCAGTTAGGATGTCACAGCAGGAGAGTAAGTGAGTGAGCCACTGTTTTGTTTGTTGAACGCTACGATTATTGTTGTTTCAATAAGGGACATAAGAACAGCCTGACCTCAGCCTCTCAGCGACTTTTAGTTTGTTTCTAATCTTGCTGCACAACCATTCTTATAGATATGTTTTATTGCAATATCCCTTTGGCTAGCTGAGTCATTGCAAGTTATGCTTTCAAGAATAACAGAAAGTGGTCAGATAGATCTGCATATTACAGACACCTTGGAAGAGTCTTAGTTATGTAAGTCTAAACTTTATCCCTGTTGGAATATTTTGTGTTTAACATGTTGAGTTAAAGAAGTTTCTACGAGTATCACATTGTTTTTCTGCACTTCTGTCTTCAGGACTGTCAATGTGAATGTTGAAATCTCCAACAATAACAAGTCAATTATATTTAACACATCACATTTAAAAGGCCATCCAAATCATTATAAAAGGTAATTTAAAGACTTAGGATACATCTAAATATTCCAGAAAATGGCTCAAACCAGAATCTTTACCTAGACTCAAATATTCAAGTGTCAAATTTGCACAGAAAAACTTATTAAACTTCAGAATATCTTTAAACAAGGGGGCCACTCCCCCCACCTTTACTGTCGTCTCACAAAGGAAATTATAGTTTCAAGGTGTCTGCCCTGAGAAAAGGTGCCTGGTTAAAACATAACATCAAGATTATCACGAGAAAGTCGTTGATTAAAAAAGGATTTTTCTGAAAGATCTAATGTTCAATAAACCCATTTAATATAACTTTGTGTCTGGTTGCTACCTCAAAACGTATGGCTTCTAAAACTCACTTTTTTACATCTCTCCTATGGCATAGTACTGTTTTATATGCTAGCTCTGTTTATACTAATTCACTGTGAGAACATTATATTCAGACTTTAATTTCAGGTTTCTCTGTACATATATGGAGACAAGCTTAAAATGTATTCAGTTAAAGTATTTTTTGTTTCTCATAAACCTGGTCTGGTAGTCTGTCTGTGTTTTTCTTCTCCACCAGAGTCCATTAGATGCCAGTTTACTGTTTTACTGGATTTGAAAATGTTAATATAGAAAATAAGCAGCTATAATCTCATTAAGGTTAGCAAAATACATCCATGTTTTAGATTAGATCAGATGAGCTTTATTGACCTCACAGCGGAGAAATTCACTCATCACATATTAGCATAGTACACATTGGCATGTAATTGGTTTTAATAGTTTTCCGATAAACAAGTTAATAAAATAAAAAATTTCTATGACTGCATTGATCAACACAGTTAAGCATTTTTTAGGTCATTTTAAATAGATAAAACCAGACTGAATAATTAAAACAAAACTGACCAGAAATGGTTAAGATTGTTAGATTTGGATAAGTTTGTTGTGTACAAGCCAATTATTTGGTTCTGAATTTTATTTAAAAATATAAAATTGACAAAACTTAATCAATAATTTTCTTGAATGCAGCCTTTGAGGCTCTGGACATTACTGGTTCCTACAGACGAAGAAAAAATGCTGTTTGGGCGTCTATTCTCCAGCACAAATGCTCTGTGCTTTAGGGATGAAGTAATATGGAAAATGCATAAATAGAGATAAAAAAAAAACAAAACAATTTCTTATTAAGAAATAAGAGAAAAGGGGTTCTAGACTAATTTTGAGTGTGCACCAACTTAACTTTGATAAAATTCAGTTTGTGAATCTGGCAATTAAAGAGCAAGAGGATCCAACAGCCTCATTGCATCCTCTCAAATCTGGCATTGCTGCCTAAAACACTATATCAGCAATGTGATTAATTTGACAAGCTGTTAGAAACAGCTGTTAACTGCTTTGAGAAGGAAAAAACTTCCAGCTAAATGTTCTGGAGCAGAGGGCTGTTGGCGGAGTTTCATGAAATCTTCCATGTGTTGCTATAAATCAGAAGTTTTAAAAAATTTCGAGCTCTAGAAACAACAAAGTCACAATAAAATACCTTAAAATTCCTTTATTGACTTAGAAACCTTTACTGACAAAGTTAATGGAAAAAAAATCTTAAGGAGTTTAATGTGTAAAATGGTATTTATGAAATTAAACATACAAACTTTACCAACAAGACGTTAAATAGAAAAAAGAGCCGATTTAAAAAAAACCGAGGAAAACACCAACTTAGTTTTCCTGATACAAAATGGTTAAAACTGTCATAAAACGGGACAGATGGACCCAGTATTTAAGGTGAGACAGTCAGTAGAAAAGTTCAAAAAGTTTATTAAATGAAAAACAAAAAACTAAAATGAAGCTGTTAGGATCTGCGTCTCGCGGATGCTGCAGGAGGGGGGCGGGGCACCGTCCAATCTCTGACACTATGGTTTAACAAAACAGGCCATCACAGGTCAGGAACAGACAGATCAGGCAGGATCCAAGCTTTCAGGCATCCTAGAACTCTCAAGCACTTTCAGAATCCAAACAGAGTCCAGAAGCGCGACCAGGCGGACACGCACAAGAGCAGACAGGATCAGGTGCAGACGGGCAGGCTCAGTGGAATAGGGTAGCAGAGACAGGACGTGGAACCAGAACTTAATGCAGGACCTTTAAACTAGTCTCCACTTTGGAGCCAGATTTACTGGGATAAACACTGAACCTCCCCACATATAGAGCAAAAAACCCAGAGGACTTAGCAGGGGAGGAACAGTGGACGATCAGGAGACGAGACAAAAACAAAAACCCTCTTTCCACTGGCCGCCAGGACATGAACCTTGACATCAACTGAACAGACAGGCTAACAGAAAACAAATAATGATCTGGCCCCGAATGCTCAAGCTGAACAGAATATAAACCAAAGGAAACAGGTGCATGGAATAACCAATGAAGGTAAAGCAATCAGGCCAGATCATGACAAAAACATTAAGAGATTAATTCTCTCTTATTTACATATTTTGATGTGATTTACAGACGTATCTTTTTTTGATTTTCAATTCAGCTACTTTTTCTTCATAATCTTCTGCTTGTCGCTGTTCATCTGTTGAGAAATGTGATAAATAGACTGTTTTTTTTAATGAGGTAAATCTTCCAAGTTAGGTTTATAGTTTCAAATAAACTTCTGAAATCCAGTGTAAAATTTAATCTAAGATTGACCCTAAATGGATTACACTTTAACAATATTTTATCATAATTAACTTACTTTCTTGGGAATTGATTCATCTGAAGAGGCGGACGACGTGTCAGAAGCTACAAAATTGAAATAAAAGGTTAATTTGTTCTATTTGGCTTTAAAATAGCCACATCAGCAACTTAGTATTAATAGACAAAGAAGGATGGAAATATTTGTAATACTCACTATTTGCTGGCTTAAATCCTGGAAGAAAAAGCATAAAATTTATTTATAGTTTTTTTTTAAAGGAAACAATGAAATACTTGCATGTAAATGAATTACAGCATTAAATCTTAAAATGTCATGTTTGCTCAGAAACAACAACCGATAAAAACAGCTTTATTGAAAATAAATATTATGTAAGCAGGTTTTATGATACATAGAATATCGTGGTTTCTCACCATTATCTCTTTTCCTCAACCAGATGACGATGACTCCAACAATGTTGAAAACCAGAACCATAAGTACAACAATAATGCCAATAATAATCCCAGTGGAGTTTCCTGAAAGAAAATCATTTAAACTGATTAAACTATGTAAGCTGTCACAGAATTTTGGAAAACAAAAAATTTGAAAAAGAAATATTGGGGGTTTAAAAACTTGAGTAAAACCTGCAGTTAATACATTGATGGATTTTGATTCAAAATTAGAATATTACTGTTGTTTGACATCTGAATTTTTACTCAGTGATATGAGTTTATCCCAATATCATTTTGCACTTATGGACCAAACACAAACTAAATGTGGTCAACTTGCTGAGCTCTAAGTGTTTTGGAAGCATTTCTGCTTGGAAAAATTCCCAACTGAAATAAATTAATCATATGCTGATGAAGGTTCTCAGTCATCCAGGTCACAGTCATTCCGTAAAAATTCAAAAAATATCCACTGGACTTGGTTTTCAAGATTTGAAGACGTTTCGCCACCTTTCCAGGAAGCTTTCTCAATTCTCAATATTTTTTGAATTTTTACGGAAATTAATCATAGCTTCATAAATATCAGATTTAGATGCAAACCTTTGGTACCTGTGTAAAGGTAAGACATTAAAAATACTGCTTTCATTGGAATCACGGATTCAACTGTTCCTATTTCTGATTCTTTTGACATTAAAAAGACATTTTTTTAACCTCGCTCAAAATAATAAATACATTTTATAAACACAGAACAAAAAAGCAGCTCTCTATGCACTCTGAACAGCTTCAAAAACATTGCAAAACCTAAAAAAAAATTATGTTTTATAAATCAATATATTGACTATATCTGCAACAAATTAGATCCTACTTATTTAAAGTTCATTTGTTTTACACAGGCTTCAGTGGGCAGTGCGCCAGGCGGATTGATATTTCTGCACAATTTAACCAAACGTACCTAAACTATGAAAAATATATTATTCAAATCAAGAGAATCTGGTCAAAGTGTCGACTTCCATTGTAGGAATCATTCTGCATATGAAACCTTTGGCAACACATTTATTCTCTTTATTATCAAAATGAACCATTGTGGACACTATTAAATTTATAAAAGAAAAATAAGAACTTTATTGAAGAAAAAACTTGGACGTGTAAAATACCATTAAATGTCCTTCCCTGTGTTAAAGTTGCTGTAAAAACCACAAATAATTGTTTAAAACCCATTAGCCTACTCCTTTTGGTAACATTAAAGCATTGTCTTGTGAGGGTTTTAAAATAATAATAATAATTAAAAAAAACATCACCTTGTTTTACCTCCTTTTACAGATAGAGTAAAATGGTTGTTGGTCTGTTCAGACAAGAACTTCTGTTTTGGCTTAAAGGTGCAGCAGGAGATATTTCCTGATGCATTTTTACCATGTGACTTAAAGATCTCCCCACAGCAGCTTAAGAAATAGAATGTCTGGAAGTGAAACTAAAATAAATGGTGCAGCTACAGTGAGAAATCAATGAATAATGCCAACCAATCACAAAAGACGGTCTGTTGTACACGATTGGTTCCTGACACGTCAATCCTGGTAATCTGCTTGTCCCTCCCCCTGTGCGCGTACCCTGACACATGAACAAATCAACCCCCGAATGCTTGTACATGATGCCATGGCTGGAAGCTAACCACGGTTATGCTACGTTCACACATATGGTGACCAGATTTGGGTTTCTAAATAGGAGGGCACTTTTTTGGGGGTGGGGGCCGCTGACTGGACTGGACCGGGAACCCCGGTGGCCGGGGACAGAGGGACCGAACCCGATCCGGTGAAAATAAACACGGGGTCCAGGCTACCGTTACCGGGTCAGGTTCGGTCGCTCTGTCCACAGCCCAGGAGCTCACAGCTCGGTTCTGCTGCACTGTAGTCGACCAAATTCCCCGACGATTTTGAAATTCCCCACGGAAAAAGAGGATGTCTGGTCACCCTTTTCACACCTAAAGCAGCACGACCAGCAACAACATGCGTGCTTTTTTATAATTGTACAAGTTTAGTTCTGATGCAGGGCTGAAGCATCTTTGTTACTCTAACTGCGCGGTGGGAAAAGTGGGTCTAATGCGTGTTGGGCGGAGCTACACTATTTTTTCTTTGCCTGTAACAATAGCAGTTAGATTTGCTGTGATCAGTGGATAAAAGTAGTTTGAATCTATTTTGAAGTCAGAAAGTCCACCTGAAAACATCGTCATTGCACTCAGTTCATCCAGATTACCATCCTGCCTTCAAATATTATTTCTGTCGGAGCCGCTCAGACCCCCATACACTAGCGGTGCTCTGTCAGTAGGAATCCCATTTAACAGCAGCCTACGGCCCGGTCGCCACCTCGCGGTTCACCGCGGTGGCTGGAAGGTGGTTTTTATGTACGCAATTCAAACTGCAGACACCAGGAAGAAAAGCGAACATGTTTTGCCGGCGGCTTTCGGCATTTTAAGTTCATTTAGGCGTTAATAAACAGTTTCAGAGCAGTGATCATAGCACTCTGTATCATCAGCGCTGCTCCTGCTTCTCTAGACGTGCTGCAGACAGCATGCCCGTTCATTTGTTTTTGAAGGCGTGGTTATGTAGGGTGGTTCAAAGGGAGAGGCATGGTTGTGTATATTCAAAATTGTAGAATTATAGTTTTTTTGCTTCACTGGTTAAAATGAGGGGGAGGGAGGCTGATCCAAAGCTAAAGGCTTTTATGAACGAGAAACATTTCCACAGACTAATTAATACTATGAGGAGAATGAATAATATTCCCACTAACAAAAATAGTTTCTACTTTTCTATTTAGTTTTTATCATGAATAAAGTATGTGGAAACATGAATCACTATGATGAATCTAACAAAACATCACAGCTTCATCATAGTTTAACCCCTTCAGCTCTGATCCTCCACTGTTACTTATTATAGTCAGCCAGGTTACTTCTGGGCTCATTCGTAAGCTACATTGCGATTGGATGTTAAAATGGGGGTTCAGAGTGGAAGGGGAGGGAGGGGCAAATTATCTACCTCTTCAAGATTTTATTTCGGGGGAAATTAGACCATCTCCTCTCCCTCCTCAATAGGTAGCCTGATTTAGGAGACTTCTTAGCTAAATAAATGTTTCTGATCGATGTTTTGTTCAGCACGTTCCTTAAATCTGATTTAGGTTGAGCTCCTATCATGGAGGAGATGTTGGCCTGTAGCTGCTGAGGAGATGGTAGAGATCCAACTAAAGGTTCATATGTTTTAACCATAAAATAACAGTAAATCTTTTTCAGCCACTAATCTTATTATAGGAGAGATTTTATTTGTAAATGTCAATCTCCTTTATATCAGGACATGATCTGCTTTCCTCCTGGTGCTCTACATCACAGGCTTCTTAGTTGAATAAAGTGTGAAATAATAAGTGCAATACATGGAATAACACACTGAAGATAAAGTAGATGAAAAAAAGAGTTCAACAGAGTGAACAAAAGTAAGATTAAGAGTAAACCTAGGGTGGAAAATAAATTTTTATGACTTTTTAAGGCTTCCAAATTAGACTGCTCATGACTTTTTCAAACCTTTCAACTGTAGTTTAACCCCAAAGAAAGATGTAAAGCAGAATGCTTAGAAATCACTGTCGACACTTCTGTTTTCCCAATAAATTAAAAATGCGCAAAGCAATGTAAAGTGACAAACTTGAATATCTACAACAAATGTATATAAATGAAGCCTATTTTAACTACTGTTTTTAAATCCATTAATTAATATAAATACTAAAGTCTTACCTTCATTAACCCCGATCTTTGTTTTGTCCAGAGGAGTGACCTTGTCATTGTTATCACCAGAGAGCTGAAACACACATTTATATTTGGTCCAGTCCTCAGATGATTGAAAGTTCACGTCAACTCTCATCTGGAAGGTTCCATCATTGTTAGGGAGGATCTCTCCTTTCTCCACACCATCATGGATCTCTGCTCCATCTTTCCTCCAGAACATTTCTGCTCTGTTGGGATAGAAACCTGTAGCAAAGCAGCTGATTGGAGAGGAGGAAGAGTTCTGGAGGAGGGACACTGAGGGACGATCTGCAGATGGAGACAATTAGAGTTTAGATATAAAATGTTAAGGGATTGTCTAGTTAAAGCAGATTGGTTGAAATGTTTAAAGCTGAATAAAAGCCACAAATAAAACTGGGTCACATTTAATTTTAATGTAGTGAAGTAAAACAAAATTCCCATTGGACATTTCTAGTAAAATTAAACATTCAAATAATCAGTTAAAATAAAGAAAAATCAGGAAAAGTTTCTCTACCTGTTCTCATTAGAGAACTTCTTCGATAGTTAACATACTTCTTCAGCCACTCAGGACACACTTGGTTGAGGTAGTTCTTATCTTTGTCCAGCTTAGCTCTGTTATTGTTCCATTGGTTTGTAGTAATTACAGCCTGTTGTTTTGAAGCAACCCAGGTGTTTGTCTTCATGTCCAATATTAGCCAGTCTTCCCCATCATAGCCATACTGTTTAAAGCCAGCAACCTGTCCAGTCTCATCATCCCACTCACAGCCGTACATTAACTGCATAATGTGAACACCTAGAAGACAGCAAATACAATCTCACTGTAGTTTTCTCCATCGTCTCTGTTATCTATTTTCCTTTTTGAGTAAAACACCTTTAAATATCTTACAGAAAACCAAGATTAACTGTTGAGAAAATTGATATAAAATTTCATCATGTGCAGATTTACTGCCTTCAGTTTTTATTGAAAGGACTGAGACTAAATCTGACCCACACTGGGCGTTCGCAGGCATTGTGGAAAAATATGCTTTGAACAAGTTAACCTCATCATCCATTTAGTTTTTTGTTCATTGCAGCTTTAGTCTCTCTTCACCATCGCCCATCAAAGTCCTCAATAAAAACAGATCAACTGACCCAGGATCTCCTCTATTTGCCCCTCAAATACTGTAGATGGTCTTTCTGGGAAGTCTATATTGAACTGTTTAGACGACATTAAAGTCTGGCCGGCCCTGAATTTATTTTCATTTTAAGGCACAGAAAACTGAGGTTATAATGTTTGGGCCTAATCTCTCTTGTGACTAAACTACTATAGACCTAGGACCCCAGGCACTATACTTTAAATCAACCGACAAGAAATTGGGTTTCAAAGCGAAAACTGATTTTAAAATGGGAAAGCAAATTGGAGCATTCAGATCTTGCTTTTACCAGTTAAGACAATTGGCAAAACTAGAAAAAAAATTTCACATCAGCTTTTTGAAACAGCTATTCATGCTTTTATTTCATATTGATTGGATGCAAAGGACTCAATTTTGCTGCTCCTTGTTTATGGAACAACACATTAGGGAGGCTCCTTCCCTTGCAAATTTTAAAACACGGTTGAAAGCTTACTCTTGTTCGCTGACTTTTAGCACCGTATATATATATATATATTTATTTATTTATTAAGGGTGGAGCGGTTCACAAAATCCACGGTTCGGTTCGATTCACGGTTTCGTGGTCACGGTTTTCGGTTTGGTATATGTTGATTGTTACACCGAAATCCCACAAAAATTAATGGAAAAAAAAATTCCAAAAAAATGTATGGATTGTAATTATTTTTAATGATCCGCGGAAACCCTGGATCATTTCCGCATGTTTTGCTGCTTTGAATTTAATCATCTCGCAATAACAAACGATAATTTCATTCAAAATGTATTTATTAAAAATGCTAAACAATTCCTGTAATGAATGAAAAGCACAATGAAAGAAATAATGTCTCATCTAAACATCCCTCACTTAACAATAAAAGTTAACAATAACTCTCAACTCCGAATAACACATGATACTCAGCCTCAGCAATGAACGAAATAATGTCTGTTCTGTAGGTTATTGGAAAAAATAAATTAACAAATGAGCTAATTAACAAAAAATACCTCTTGTGTAGCAAAAATTATTCAAAATGTACCAAAAACGAACAAACATATCAATAGACTAGCTTTACTTTCGGAGTCCAGGTGGCTTTTCTGATTCCTTGCACCTCCATTGGACACCGAGACATATGTGCCTGCTTTGCACACTGTGCACAAGGCCTCTCGACTAGGGGTGTGCAAAATAATCGTCATGATGATGCATCGTGATTCTAATTTTCGTGATCTACTGCATCGATTCTTGACGCCAAGTATCGATTATTAATTTAAAAAAATGCATAGATAAAATTGCATGAATGGTTGGCGAACATCAGCCAAAAACAAGTGTAACACAACTTCCAGTCCAGTAGATGTCACTGCGGATGTGTTGACGCACTTTGCCTTGTGTCACAAGCATTACCGGCTGCGGGATACTGCGACGAGTCATTCAAAAACAAAACATGGAGGAGAAAATATTGCAATGCATTGCAATAATTCAAGTATTGTGATACATCGTGATAGAATCGCATCGTGGCCTGTGAATTGTGATTCGAATCGAATCGTGACTTCTTTGGCAATACCCACCCCTAGTCTCGACCTGGTCTGAAAGCGGGGAAACTCTTCTGTAAATCGTCGGTAAACATACATTTGCGCTTTTGCATGTTGTTGGCGTACTGACAGCCAAGCTATCTATAGTCTGATTAAGAACAGGGCTGCCCGCACTGACGAGGCTCAGGGATTACGTCACACGCAGCGCCGTGCGCAGTGCCCTAGTGCCTGTAAATTTAATGGTCCAATTAAGGTAATTTAAAAATCAGGACATTTCCTCACTTTCTAAAAGAAAACCCGGGACGCCCGGGACAGGACGTGAAATACGGATGTTTGGTCTCTCTGGGTTAGCCTGACATGTTGGTCATGTTGCTGTTAGCATAAACAAAACATGTTGCACAATGCTTGCACACTGTTGCAATTTTATCCACAGCTTTCTTTCCGCCGTCATCGTAGGTCACTCTAAATGCAAAGTGGTCCCATACAGCAGACCTATAAAGTGCTGCTGGCGCGTCTTCCAACTCCTGTTCTTTCCCACTCGCCATACCCACACAATTCTCCACAACAACTGATTTTTTTCCCTGCTACACCCGGCTACGCTGCTTCGCTTCTTCTTCTTCTTGTTTACTACTGGTGGTTGGCTTTGGTCGCAGTACCGCCACCTTCTGCTCTGGAGTGTAGACGCTTCACCTATGAGAAAAAGGAGCCGCGCATGAACCGAACGCAACACGCGAGAACCGAACCGAGACAGTCGAACCGAACGGTTCGGACGGTTTTCATAAACCGGTCCATCCCTAATATATATATATATATATATATATATATATATATATATATATATATATATATATATATATATATATATATATATATATATATATATATATATATATATATATATATATATATATACAGTCCATGTATACAATATTACTGTTTAAATTTCTGTTTAAGTCGAATTTAGCAATCAATCAATTAACTGGAGAATACACTGTAAAACAGGAGATGACATTTAGCTGTCAGAGCAGTAATTATAGCAAAACCAAAAATAAAAACTATGTTGACATTTTCTTTCTTCTGTCAACATGCTTTATCCAGAACTCACAAGTGGAAAAGTTTTAGTTTCACCTGGTTTAATTATGTAGAAAAATTATCTCCAAGGAACTTTTTGCTATCTGATTATCTATTGATTAATTTAGAAAATAATCCACAGATTAATTGATTAGCAAAATAATCGTCAGCTGCAGCCCTACTGGAGACACCGTCAGCCAAGAGCGGGCCTGTTTGTCCCCTGAAAAAGCAGACATGTGAATGTTTCCTTCAGAAAAACTGCTAAGTAAAACAGTAACCCTGAGCATTAGCAACTGACTTGTCATTTGTTTGCAACTATTCCTTTGCACTGAAAATTATTTTTCTATGTAATAAAAGTGCATGGAATTGTAATGTAATTTTCTTTTTGTTAGAATTTATATTTTAAAACTGGTATCAAAAAAGTAACGTTCAGGAACCGATATCGAAGTGAAGGTATCGGTATTCATACAGTATAGAATATTTTCGATTGAAACCAGCCCTTTCTGTAGTTCTGGATTCTTCCATCTTTCATTACTGCTGATGGTTTCCAGCTCACTGTTGTTAATAACAACCTGGAATCTGCTGTTTTTTTTTTCTTTTTCTAAGGGTTACAGTTTCATTCTGCTACAATCTCCAACACAGCAAAACATTTTGTTTGGCTGCTAAAACTATATGACTGAAAACATGTCCTGTTTTATCATGAATGTGTTTGCCGATAAATTTCCACATGGCAAAAACTCAAATCTCTACAATATAAAATGAAACCTAAAATATTCTGGGAGAATCTTAGTGATACAAACATTGTTTTGAATCACTGATAACTGCTGAGACAATGATAGAAGCATTATCTAAACTCTGAATTTCTATGTTTTGATCTTGTTTATGAATAATTTACTAATTAAATTAATTCATTAATTAAATATTAACAGTTGTTGGCTTAAATCTTAAGGTGGTGGGGTGGGGGAGATATGGGTCCTATTTCCAATAAGCAACAACGAAAACAATCAATAGATGGTTAAATAAACACAAACCTCCAGTTTGGCCAAAACGCTGCTTTGCATTTTCAATTTCGACTTTGATCTCCAGCTGGTGACCCAGAAACTCCCCAGTCTGTCTCTCCCAGAACTCTGGATCTACGGCATCATTCATCCAGTGCTGTTTAGGAACACATTTCTGGGTGATGCTGTCATAGTAAATTATCGGGGCATCATCAACCAAACCAACAGCCACAAACTCTGGCAAGTTTGGGACTTGAGACGATGCCGTGTAGAGATACTTCAGGGAGTGGATCACTGGAAAAAAAAAAAAAATATGAATTAAAAACCTATAAATGATAGAATAAATAATTATTTTCTTCACACAAGTTAAATAAACTAAACACCATTATTAATAAAAAAGTTAGACAATAAAAGAAGACAATTCAGAAAGTTTTCATCTTTTATTAATATCTGGGGACTTTGTTCACTACAAATAAAAATGTTATTGTTTAACAGTCAACTTTATTTAATATTTCTGTTTTGATTTAAATCCTATACATGTTGATTAGACAAAACTTTATTTAGAATATTAATGACATACATACTGTGTTTTATTAATTGTTCTGTTTAATTATAGTTTACATTTGACGAACCTTTCAAACAAACAAACAAAAAAAAGGTATATAGTCAGCATTTAAAATTCTTTAAAAAAAAATGGTGGACTTCCAGATGGCGGAGAAGCGAGTTACAGCATAAATTCTGAGCTCCCAAATTTGACACCCTAACAAATGACTTATAAAACACTGTTTTTAGTATTTACAAGCCATGTCAGGGACAAACAAGAGGGAGACAAGAGAAATTCACAGAGAAAACGCAAAAGAAACTGTTGTTTTATAGAAGAGGGTTTCTGAGGATAGCAAGCTAGCAGCGGATAAAGCTATGAGAGCTAACTTTCTTACAGAGCTGAAAGAAGTTCAGACGAACCTCAAAAAAAAAAAAAATCCATGACTGAGTTTAGAAAAGAGATGGGGAAACAGCTTAACGACATTTTTGCAGACCTGAAAGACTTAATGAACAGATTTGAGGAGGATGAGCAGCGAATATCTGAGGTAGAGGAATTCAACATGGATGTCCAAGAAGACCTACAAACACTTCCATATCTGGAAGCCAGTTCACGCAGGAATAAAATTCATATCCATGGGGTCACAGAGGGAGAAGAAGGTGATAACTTGTAAAACTTCATAGAGAATTTTATAAAAACTGAACTTTCCCTCATGGACATCACTCTGGGCATACAGAGGGTATATGAGTGATTGCAAAGATGAAAAAACAAGAAAAACAAGATATAATTTTGGCCAAGAAACATCTTATTTCCTACTGCTGGATTTGAAATTAGGAGGAAAGTGGGGATGAAGATGTTGTGTCTGAGGACGCCAGGGCGGCAGAAGCTTGATTTGGTGTAGAAGGCTTCCAGCCGTACATGTTTGAGCCCTTGCCTCGCAACGCTGCCAGTTCTGTTAGCTCTACGCCTGCCGAAGAAACAGACGTCCATCCCCGTGAACACTGGGACGGAACTCATGTTAAAATAAATGATTTTTATTTCTTATTTCAGCCGATGCGTATATTTGCTGCGACTAGGGTTGTCACGATACTAAACTTTTCAACTCGATACCGATACTAAGGAAAATATTCAATACTCGATACCATTTTCGATACCACAAAGATAAAAACAGACTCCAAAATTCTACAGAAATATTTTCATTAATAAACAAAATACAATAAATAAATACAATAAACAATAAGAACAATATTTTGAGCTTGTGTTCTGTGCACAATATTAAGCAAGCTTGATAAAAAAAACTCATAAAATTAAGTGTTCCTAAAACTAGCCAAACCAGTTAAAAAAAATCAAAAATAATTCTCAGCAGCCCAAAAACTGTTACAAAAAAAGTCTGAAACTGAAAAGTGCACAGAATTATTCAATCACACAGTGTTCAGAAAGTGCATTTTCCTCTATTCTGCACTTTAGATGAATGACTGTTTAGGTGCCACTGGTGGTAGCACTGTATCGATACTTTTAAAAATGAGTATTGTATCCGGATACAACGTTTCAGTATCGATACTTTTTTTTGTATCGATACTTTTGACAACCCTAGCTGCGACATAAGAATCAAGATGCTATGACCGAAAAAATTTGATTGACAGATGACCGTTGATATATGATTGGCTGAATTTAGATGTTAAAGCTGACGTATAACTAACTGGCCTGTATAAAATAACAAAAAAAAAAAAAAATAGATTTTAAGAGTTTTTTTTTTTTTTTTTTTTTTAAGAAATTTTCTGACTTTTGGGACAATATGGTCTGATAAACAGTACATTTATATACATGTTTAAACCAGAATGATTTGACATTTAAATATGATTTCCCTACGACTTTAAAATTAAATACTTTTATTCAAAGCTATTTGATTTATAGAAAAGACTATTATTGGAGTTGGGCCTTTGTTTTGATTCAAACAACAGGGACTGAATATTTGTCTATTTTGGGAAGTACTATTTCCAATCCAGGAAATGTATGAAAGAATTTAGACCACATACAAAAAAAACTGTTTTTTGATGATAGTACTCCTCTTGGTGACGTTATTGAATATTTCTCTATCATTTTTCTGTGGTGTTGTAATTAGCAGAGGGTCCCTGTCCCATTGAGGACAGGTGAGATCTGCATTGAGGCCAGTGAAAGCCTCCCTGCATGGTTGGGTGCTGGTTTGGAGGAAAATGCAACAGTAGCTGCATTTCTTCATGTAGTGGTTGCAGAGAGGAAACATTTTTGAGGAAGCAATGTTCCGATTACAACTTAATGACCCGGAAAAGCCGAATCATAATGCTATTTTAAAAATGTTCTCATTCGCTTAAAAAACGTTTACAGAATTTATTAACAAATGGCGGTCTCAAAATGAGGGATCTGCTTGAACAAAGAAGATTATATGATAGTTTTATTGAATGTTTGGGTTGAAGGACAAGTAGGCCTAGTATTTATTAAGTTAATTTACACAAATGTAAACCTGTAAAAAAACAAAAAGGCTTTATTTGAGTTTAATATTTTGTGTTTTGAAACAAATATCCAATAATAACTCTTTCTTTATCTGTATTTCCTGGTGAGAACTACCATAGAATCGCCATAGCACACGCAGACACATAAAACTGGTTTAATAAATCGTTAGATTTCAGACTCTCGCTAATAGATCTTATACAATGTTTTAGTAACTTACCTGCAGCCACGTTATGTAGAAATATTCCCAACAGAACCACGAAACACTTAAGCTTCTTCATTATTCCCCATCTAGGCTTTCAAAAACACGGTGAACTTGATATCAGCGCTGATCTGATGTTCTCCTTTTCACCGCTAGAGGGATAAGGCTGGAATATCAACCTTTACATTAACCAATGAGAATCCAGCTGTAATGTCAACGTCAGTTGAAACTGGGTAAAACTGAACCAACAAGGTTACAAATGAAACAGAAAGTAAAATGTATCATATCCTCCTGATTACCAGGAAAAAAAATATTGTCCAATCACCATTTTTTTTTATTCCACAATCTTTGTAAGGTAATTAGAATAAGGAAAAAAAAATTTGTGAAAATAAGTTTTTATTTTTGAAATATTATGCGTCCTCTACAGTGGACATCAGAACGCCATACATTCGAAACTGAACCTTGATGGCAACCAGTCACCCCCAGATTCCACATACTCCGTCAGCGCTCCGCTCCGCTGCGCCCCGCTGACGTACGTCGTGCGGAGTGCTTGTCTTTCATGGAAATCAATCAGAGCTGTTCCACATCCACCGCTACTCCTCCGCACGTCTCCGTCCATGTACGTCTTCTCCGTCCGTCACCGACAAATTACGGAGCCGAGCTATTTTTTGCTCCGCTCCGGTCCAGCCAAGTCAAGATCCGCAATTGCAATCACACCAAACAGGAAAAAGAACCTCGACAAATTCCGGTTCATCAAATTAAAATATAGTAGCAACAGATTGGTGACTAGAAATTATAGCACAATTCTTATAAATATCTAAAATAAAAATAAAAAAATTAAAAAAACTAACACGTTTATTTAAATGATTGGATCCAAACTATTGGTTATTCACCAACGAGGAAGCAGATTTCTCATCTCCATTAAAATATTTATTTTATACCGAGGGACTTAAACTTTAATCAAATCCATTCAAAAGAAACTTCTTATTACAGGAATGAAAAGAGATGCTGAGTTGTAGAGAACAAGTTCATTAAAAAAAGCAGTTTTGAATGATCCTTATCTCTGTTACAAAAATCTACAAAAATATATATATATATTTGGGCAGAAACTGAACATATGCTGGATGATGGTGGGATTTTTTTGATATGTCATATTAAATTAAGCGTTCACAGGGTTTATACAGGAATGAGTGACTCTAATTTAATGCAAATTTTAATGCTATTTGAAATGATTTTAATGCCATCAACAAGAACCATGTACACAAGTTATTAGTGTACATGAAATATGAAGGAGCTGCAAGCAGAGTTCCATGACTCCTGTATGTATGTAAACACACACACACACACACACACACACACACACACACACACACACATATATACGTATATATATTCTCTAGCTTTTTCTCCGCCTCAAGCTCCCTTTCCGAACATACGGCTTTATGATCAGTTCCACGCAAATTAATAGCGATATAATATATCTGACGAAATTGTTTTTAGAAGCATTTTTATTAAAGAATCATAAATGCAACGATAAACATATTTAATTAATTTTAGTGCCAATTAAGGCCTTGATTAAAAAAAGAATTATGAATTGTAATTATTTTTAATGATCCGCGGAAACCCTGGTTCATCTGGCGCATGCCCTCTACGATCTCCAAGGAACTCAGAGTGGAGGGGACGGAGCAACAGCGGCGGCTGTAGGCTTTGCTTTGTGCAGGCGGTCTGGAGCGCAGCGGGGTGGAGCGGAGCGGAGCGCAGACGGAGTATGTGGGATTTCGGGGTTAGTCCCAAAGAAAATAACCAAACATCAACATAAGAATGAATTTTTCATTGACAACACTGTCCATCATCACAGTTGTTTTTCTTTTATGTGCTTATTTGCTATGATACGTCAAAAAGCAATTCCCCTTCTTGGAAACGCAAAGGAACACATTGCACTTTGTGCACATTACATATGTTTTGCTTGTGCAGCCAGATTTTCGACACCTAGACGCATGTGTTTCATTCACCATCTCTGGAAGATGGATGGCGCCGTAGTGTCTCAGAGCTGCATTTGGCTGT